GGTGAACGAGGCAACATGAGGAAAGTAACGCATAAATGCGTTCGAAACCGCTACCTAGCGTTTCCCAGGATTTAACAAAAACAAAAATGAATATTCGTCGGAGTCATGATGTATCAGAACCGATGTAACGCAATATCGATGTTTAACGCTTGTTTAATTTTCTTTGCTCAATTCAAAATAACCATGTTAAGTTGTGACACGTACGCGCGCGTTGTAAGGAATAGCAGCAAAACTTGAGGACAATCGATGGTTCATGATGGAAGAAGGGTATACATTATTTTTAAAAATAACCCGTGGCCATTTGACCACTGGTCATTTTTAAAAGGGCGGAATGTTGTATACTAACCCTTCTTCCATAATTGAGATTAATAATATTTGATGATTTTTATATATTATCTTTTTACTTGTTTTTTTTAATGAGTGAAACACACCAAGCGCAGCAAACTGCAAAACACCAGGTGTTGTTAAGTAATGAACCGGAGGAGGGCTAGGATGGCAGAATTTACAACGTTGCTTCAAGGGAAGATAAGGCCTGATGAACGGGCACATGTCACCCGTGCAGGCGGCAGAGACAGTGGGAGTGTCAGCCAGACATAGTTAAGGCAAAAGCCCAATCATCCTGCATGGTTTTAAAGTAACGTCAAAATTCGAAATTCAACAACAGAGTAGGCTAAATTATCGATCCTCGCGCTCGCTCAAATTGGAGACCAGGCTGCGAGCTACATCAATGAACCATTGCCCATTTGCTAATCCAATACTGAATGTTAATATTACTGAAGTCAAAACGAATTCTATGACCTCAGCACATGGGCAAATAATAGGGCAGTGTCGACTCAAAGGCAATGGAAGAAAACAGAGGCGCCTTTGTCTAAATCACAACCACAGAAAGCCAGGAATCATCACTGATTGTGTGTTCAGGAATTCCGAGCTAGTTAGAACACGTGCACAGGGGGGGGAGCTGATGTAAACAACCCTGCGCGTCTGGATGTGAGGGGGCCTTGGACCTGGAATCAAGAATAAACACTCCCAGAGCAGAAGGTTGGCAGGGGGAGAGGTGATTTAAAAGAGGGTTGTATATCTCTCAAGGCACAAGACCCAGCTGAACAACACGGCTGCGGGGGTCACCAGAAGTTCGCATTCGCCTAGTTAAGACAAAAAGCTCAATTATTCTGTATTGCTATTAAAGTAACGTTAAAGTCGGAATTTAACAACAGAGTAGGCTAAAGTTATTGATATTCACACCCACTCCAATTAAACCAGGTCACAAGTTACGCCTACTGAACCATCACCATCATTAAGTCAATATGAAATGTTATTTCCATACTTCAATACTTTCTATACAATTCGACCCGAAGCATATGACAATCAGAACCTTCCTAAGTCAAAATTGAATCGCACCCAGACAGGAGCGAATAGTCAATATAAGGTTGAAGAGGGAAGGAAATCAAGAGCACGGCGAACTGCAAACGTAAGCAAAAAGCCGGGAACAACACCAGCCCAGCAACAGCGAGTGGGGCTTCGACAGGCCATAAAGTAGAATAATAACTCCCGGGGTCAGGGGACACAAGAAGAAGTAGGCAGACAAAAACCAGAACTGACTCCAAGGTTCAACCGCCCTCACCTACTCAGGGGTGACGGAAATTAATGAGGCCTTGAATTAACGGCAGGCAACAACAACGGCGAGCAGAGATAGGGTGGGGCAAAGACTGCGGGCTAGGAATGCAACTTCGTGTCAGTAAAGCCCTGACAAACAAGTTAAGTTAAAGACATCACAATACATAATATCGCACATAACATCAATGTTAACGCTATTCACCGTAAACTATATTCCGCTTATATAACCATCCAGGCACCAAGGAATACGAATTCCTAGGATCAAGAAACTTACCCCTTAACCTAAGATATCGGAAATAAATTAATAGTAATAAGTATATGCATGAAAGACAAAAGTAAAACTTATGGAAAAGCCAGGATAACGGGATGAATCACCACCAGGTCGAATATAAATACATAATAAAAAAAACGATGTTAAACCCAGGGTCGGAGAGAAAGGGAGATCCCGGCCGTCTTTGTATCCCCGCAGCGCGGGATAGGAGTGTGTGTACGCTCGGGGAAACACCTACACTTGGGTCGGGAACCACGATGGGAAACGACAGACCTTAGGTTACATACAGAATCATAACTGTGAAATAGTAAGGGACAAATGTTAACTTAAAACTTTTAACCATTTCTTTGTGCGCCGGGTCGGAGAGAGTGTTGCCCCCCTCCAGGTTGTGCAACACGAACAAAGACGCCTATGAGACGATTTGTAACGTCTGTGTTTTGGGTTCATGAAGAAGGCCAGACAAGAGATAAATTGCACCCAGACAGAGAGACGACTTCGAGACAATTTGTAACATCTGGTTGTTTGCTCGTGGGTTTTATGGAGGGAGTTGACAACGGAATATACCGTCAGTGATGCACACAAGGACATACGGACACACACATGGACACACCTGCCTACGGACAGATCCTGACACAGCAAAAATCGGAAGCCCCGCCTTGTGGGCGGGATCCAGGGGGATTTTTCAGCATAAAGGAACGGATCCTGAACATTGGAAACCAGTGCGACGGGAGGGTCCACTCAGAAGCTCGACCGGGAGGGTCGACTCAGGAACGAGTGCGACCAGAGCGGGTCCACTCAGGAGTGCGACCAGAGAGTCGACTCAGGAGCGAGGGCGACCAGCGGGTCGACCCAGGAGCGAGCTCGACCGGGAGGGTCGACTCAGGAGCGAGCTGCGACCAGCGGGTCGGCTCGACTCATCTTCAGCTCGTCAATCTCTGCTGCCGCCGGAGATCTCCGCTGCCGCCGGTGGTGAGCGTCGCGACTTGGCGACGATCCAGCGCTGCACGCTACGAGCGAGTTGTGGGCGCCACCTACCGACCGGGTTCCGAACTGCGACAGCGTATCAACAGCCATCCGAGCCAATTCACCACGGTGACAGGAGAGCGCCTGATACGTATGACGCGCACCGCCCCCTCACCACACGACCACCAGGCGTCTGTTTGACATAAAGAATCGACTCCGAACACTGACTATTCAAGACAACTCTTACCACTCAAACACACTCGAACCCATAAGTCATCCGTGGCTGGGAAGGCATCACAACGAGACCGAGTGGTGGCCTCCGTCGTATAAGAGTATTCTTAATTTTTATCTTTAATATTTAGTGGGCTGTACTCTTAATCGCATAAATTCCCAACAGATCCATCAATACGAACTGATTCTTGGCACCTCCTTCCGCCGAGCCACGCTCACGTGGGGAGTGGTGGCCACCGGATCCTTATCAGGTGATCTGGTCCCCAATTAGTAAACTTGGTATAAGATAACGATCTTCGGAAAAGGAGCACCGTCGCAGGCCCTTACTCCGAGCCGTTCTGCTGTCAGATAACCTGCCGATGTATCTGTTGAGATTGGTGCCTTTAAGAATAGTAACTGTTTTGATTGTGTTTTTTTTTTTTTTCGCCGTATAATCTTTCAAGTATCTTTCAGTCATAATCGCCGCACGTACTCGCATCCTCTACAGAATATTCAACTGTCCCGTGACCCAAGGTGTTAACAACGTGATAAGGGTTGCGTATGATCAATAAGGAGTGCGGTACTGCGTGAACAATATTGAGTATAATCATTCATTAACATTAAGGTTTTCTTAGCATAGTATTTGCATATTTCAACGACTCTTTCTCTCACTAACAACCATCGCGTTATGAACAATATTGAGTATAATCATTCATTAACATTAAGGTTTTCTTAGCATAGTATTTGCATATTTCAACGACTCTCTCTCTCACTAACAACCATCGCGTTATGAACAATATTGAGTATAATCATTCATTAACATTAAGGTTTTCTTAGCATAGTATTTGCGTGTTAACGACTCTCTCTCTCACTAACAACCATCGCGTTATGCGGGATCCATGTGCAGTTGTCAAAGTGAAATCAGACAATCGTTGATGATACTGTATTGATGCCGTGTTGACGTTCCGGGATTGAGAGTTTGCATATTATATCATAGTTAAGGTTGAATTAGTAATAAATTGATCAATACAGAAGTGGTTGTGTGATTCTTTCCTGAAATCTATGCATAAGATCTGCTTCTGCGTTGAGATTTGAACCTGGTGACCTTAATAAACACACTAACACATACTCAGTAAATGTTAAAGCGATAACGGGGTGAACCGGGGACCTAAAAATATAACCACGAATAAACACTCTGGGAATGTTAAAGCGAGAATGAGACAACCTAGACAACGATGCCGAGTTAATCTAAGTTAATCTTGCATACTTACACCACACCTGCATAACTGCATACGATTAATTGCCTTATTCCGATCGATAACCCACCCTCGTCACCGAGGCGGGGTCTGGTTATCATAACGACTTGCATTATCATAATTACACCCACTCGCATAATTAATACGATTACCTCTCGAATTGGCATAATTAAAATGTGCGTAATTACATAAATTAACATATTTCCGGATAATTACACATTTGGCCAAATTTCATTTAATTATTATTATTTCCACTGAATATTCATAACCCACATATACAACATAATAATTTCACCCACGCACGCATACAACATAACAAATTTTCATACCCAACATATACAACACAGGTCACTCTTGCAAATAAGACTTCTATCTTATGAGTTCTCACTGCCTGGATAAACAAACTTTAATTGACCATCCTCAACCTTGCTGGTCCGTGCAGGTTGGTGAAGGGGTGGGGAGCCTAGCAATAGAAGCCCACCACGGAACCCAGGAAATCCTAGGGACAACAACCTAATGTGTGCGTGGTGGTCGCACATCCAAACTCTGTCCAGGCTCAAAACATACTTAGCTTCTGCAATCTGATAAGACATGCACGCACCATTGACGATCGTGACTCTTGGTAGTCAAAGGTTTTTGTTAAAGTCGCCACTGTTGTGTGTTACGATCTTGCGCCTGTGCTGCAGAAGGAGCATTTGTACCAGTGTCCGGCTTGTAACAAAACCCACACTGATGGGCGGGCATTCAAGAGCCACATATTTAGGCAGCACCCAGGTGAGTGTTATGTATGCATTCTACAGCAAAATCCTTTGCTGTGTACATGTGTGCAAACGTGTCGATAGGCCACGTAAACTACCAGTTCATTTTTTAAGTGTATCAGCCCTGGTTGAAAACAACTTTATCAGTTGGAAGCATACTATCATGAATGACCACACTATAAACATCTCCGCAGTGATTCTATGGATTGTCACAATTCAGGGTTAAGATTCAATTCATTAATCAATAATTGTGTTATTTTTAATGTTTTGTTTGTATGACATTTATAATTAGTTATTTCTTATTCTAGCTTGTTCCTTCCATTAGCCTAAAGGAGTGATAATCAGAATCTTTATTTAGACTGGAGGAATGCGATGAGCTATGAAGCTCTTTTTCACAGATTTCAGTTCAATTTGGACATGTTTCATTTGCTAAATCTATGAATCAATTAATAGATGCTTGATGTGATACTTGTACCATGAGCATAAGGGACATTTATTGTGCCCAAGTAGTGACTGTGTGACTGTATTTTGTGTACGGCCATGAATGTACGCCACGTGCACACATACGGATACGCACAGAGGTGCCAGCAAGCAGCATCGCGAAGCTGCTTGGCAAGCCGGTGCAGATGAAGGGACTGATCGGAAAGCGTGCCATCAAATGCCCATACTGCGACAAGCACTTCCACAAAGCCAGCACTGACCTGCAGCGCCACATCTGGTCCCACGAAGGTACGTTGTTGTCCTTTGACCCAGGCATCTGAGCAAGTACCCTACAACTTATAGAGCTCTGTATTGTTTACTCACACTGCTGCTGGAACACGGGAACTCTGAAGGAACCCTCTATATGGAATTTGGCCTACTTTTCCATGTTGGCGAGACTTATTAGAAGAGATGGGAGTAGCCACACTTTACCTTACCACACACAATCTGCCAATAGACTTTCGTGTGCCCATTCGTACTGCTTGGCGGACATGGGTGGGGAAGGGGTAGGGCGGCGGATTTAAAAAAGAAAACTCTCCTTTTTCAAACTGCCACGCCGGGAGATCAAATTGATCATGCGATCTCTACATTGCAAGTCCAGTGTGATCGCCATTATACCACAGCAGCAACCCTTTTATATAGCTGCAGTCTTATAACCACGCAGGTTTCTACAGCATTGCAGGGACTTTGACGTATTAGTATAAACACCCAGAGTTGACAGAATGAGCCTTAGCCGTTATCTGCTAATTTTGAGCATTAAGTGGTCTGCTGCGTGATCTGTTCATTTGCACATCCCAGGCCTGAAGCCGTTCAAGTGCTCCAAATGTCCCTATGCCACTGGCAACAAGAGCAATCTGACGTCGCACATGAACACACACAGCATGGAGAAAACCCATCTGTGCGACATCTGCGGCAAGAAGTTCAAGACCAAGGGAAACCTGACCAACCACAAACATCTGCACTCGCAGAAAGGTAGACACCGTCAGAATGTCTGGCTACAATTGCCAGTGCAACTCCCATCAGCTTTTGTAGTGTGACTATGTTAGTGGTGTCTACTGTGTAATTTCCATATGTAATGACCTCTCGGACTCTGTAGATTAATTAAGTACTATATCTCCATTGTTTGGGTCTGAAGGACCCTATAAGCAATATTGTATATATTCTCACAAATTAATTACTGATCCCTATATGTAATAAGTTATTGTATTTCAGAAGGTCATGCAAGAGCCTTTACCATGTGTACCAAAGACATCATGATGCAGGGTCTCCTGGATGCAGGGTTAACATTGGTTGTGCCTCTTGTGAATGAAGACCACTGTCTGTTGCCCATATTGTGTGTTGGTCAGACAAACAATTCAAGTGCCTGCTGTGCGACTTTTCGGCATCGGTGAAGTCCAAGCTAACCCGACACATGGAACAGCATTCCAGCTCGAAGGTGACCACTCCCGCCATGAGCACGAGCACCCACAACAAATAACGTTCATGATCCGCACAATACAGATCACAGCTTGCGTAGGGTCACGACACAACAGCAATGTTTATCTGCCTAAAGTGTTTGTGTCTGGTAGAACCACTCATTCCCTCTGCGTTGGTTTTCAGCCTTTCCGGTGCGAGCACTGCAGCTACTCGTGCAACCAGGTGAGCTCCCTCAAGAGACACCACCACAAAAAGCACCCAGACCTGGACTACACGAACCCTGCCAAGAGCAACCAGAGCCAGCACCAGCTGCTGAGTCCAGGTGAGAGATAAGCAGCAATTATTTTTTGACTCTGTATAATAGGCTTTTAAAACTATATTTTTCCCGGTGGGACGCGTAATAAAATGTCCGTGTGCAGTTGGGTCGCGTAACATCTTATGCCATGTGTACAGATGTTATAATACCACGTGACATCATGACATCTGTACCTCTTGTCTCGTGCTCATCTAACCTGTATCTCGTGTCTATACCTCTTTCATCTCTCCCTTATGTATGTCGCTTTCATCTTGCTCATCTATATCAGCGGGACTTTCCCACACGTGGCCCGCAGGGCGCCAGTTGAAGAACCCTGATTCATACAATTGTGTGAATCTGGTTCAATAATCATTTACATTTATTTGTAAGGCACCTTCCACTGTCTCTTGGTCGTTGTAATCTTCACTTAAGCACAAGCATGTGTGGTGTTTTTGTTGTCACAGGTGGGGTGAAGTGCCCCATCTGCGACTATGTTTACCATACCAAATGGGAGCTGAACCGCCACTTTAAGACTCGCCACAACCTAAAGCTGCTCCAGACACCTGAGATGCGAGGTTTGGAGCAGGTAAGGCGTTTCAACAAAAATCTACCTCGCGGCCATCGTTACTGCTCAGTCTGAACTTGTATACGTGTCTGCGTAATATCCAAAAAGTCATACGTCCTTGAAGTCTTACAATGTTGAATTTAACATAGTTGTTCTTTCGTAAAGTGCTGGCGCATTGTTAACCTGCAATGATGCTCTTCACTAAAGGGCTCAATTTCTTCAGCTGTAGTCCTTGCAAGCGTTCACAAGACAGCTTTCCATGAATACCACCAGGTGCAGGAATCATCGCGAATTAAACTGAAAATTAACGGAGTAGATCGGGAAACACAACTGCGGGAGGTCGCTATCACTGGCGTTTAATAGCGCTGTGACGCTTGGGGTTTGTGACGCATCAGATGATGGTAAAATGGCCTTCTGCTCTGGTGCTCGCAGGAGCATGCCCTGGTGCTGTCAGTGGACACCGCCAGCCACATGGAGGAGCTGGAGGAAGCACGCAGCACGGAGACCGCAGTGGCCGCCTTGCAGGACCTTCGCTACACGATAGAGAGCGGTGGGTGGTAACACCAGTCCATGCTTACTTACCATCTCTTAGGCTAGAGCAGTAGCTTGCCGTAGTATATCACAATTCAACCCAATTAAATCTGTCCATTAGCCCGTTAAGATGTTGACATGAAAAAAACATGGTCAAGCTTACTCTAACGTCTCTGCCCAGATTACACTGCTTTCCATGGAGCGGTGTGTTGAGCAACTCCTGCATTGTCTTCAATATTGCTCAATCCAGATATCCCAATTTACCAGTGGAGGCATCGTGTCGTTACAACCCATACCACACTGCCGAAACTCATCCAAACCTACGCAATCTCACACTTTAACTCGCACCACTTGGTGTGTTCATCCTTCACGTCAGAGCTCTTACGACTCAAGTGCTCGCTGATGCTCATTCTCATTCACGACACAAGATACTTAACACGGCACACGCATGACCGCAAACAAGATTCTCATCATGATTCCTCCCACCAGAAATCTGTGTAGCTGGGAATGCCAAGGCAGGTCCTCCGAAGTCTCTCACCTCACCTGTGCCCCACATTGATCTCTGCTCAACAGGCCCCCACACCAAAACCCTGTGAAAAAAACCTGTAAACACCATGAGGATCTCCCCAGCCATAAGTTCAAACTTCCTATAGTAAGTGTGCAGTTTAATTTAGTCTTAGATACTGGACCTCACCAGAGCACCAATGCCCCACTCTTGGTCGTTGCATCTCCTAGCTGCCTTTGTCCTCCTGGAAAGCTGCCAGTCGGCTGTGCTGTCAAGCTCTAGATGCTGCCACTTTTTCTCAACTGAGTTTAGTTGGCCTTTTTATACTTTCCAGGCAGTGAGACTACCACCCCATTGGCTCATTACCCCCATCTGTTTTGCTAGGATTGACTCCTTTTGCATGGGTTATCAGACCCAATTGGTACTTCAGCACTTAAGAGGCCAATAATTCTATCAATAACTCACATCAGAACTGATCCTTCAACCTATCTGAATGCAAGCTAATCTATTCCTGACTCAGTGCCTATGTCTGATAATCAGCAACAAATGAGATGCCACATTTCCAATACTGCTGCTACAATTGTCAGGTGTGGATAGTTTATAGATCTGTGGGACAGTCATCATTAACTTCGTGACACTGAATTACTGAACTGTGGTGCAACTACTTATACTCCTGGGATTTGAGGAATCTGCTTCACCGGGAGATCAAATCATAACAATGAGTTTCTTCAAACTAGGACCCATATCTAACAGTCTAAGCATGGCATCTCTGTGGAGCCATGATCAACAGCTACATTAACATTCTGGGGGTAGTGCTCCGCTACCCCTGATTAGATCAAGAAATTGGCCGCGGCAAAGCACTGCAGTGAGTGGGTGCCCCGCACCAGAGGATGGCTGCTGCGCCCTTGGCCGGGAGCTGATAATTACTGGTGACTTAAACTGGAACAATCCCCACAACTGAAGCCTTCGCGCTGATACATTCAATCTTTCCAAACTCATTTGCTCACCAAGGCGGCTTAACTTGAACAATCAATATGATTCAATGCTCCTGAAAAGTTTGTGAAAGTGGGTATCCGGGGAAGCCACCTTAGCGATTCAATCATATTTGGTATCACTCAGCTACCAACACTCGGACATAAAATACTATTTCTTGAATTATTTTGATCATCAGGTCTTTGCCCATGATATCGGCAATTCTGATGTATCCATTGGCTACGAGATCATCCCTACTCTGCATACATGGTCTTTCTTTAGGAGGGCATTTCTCTTCATCGTTGATAAACATGCTCCATTGGAAACGTCAGGGAAACACCAGGCTCTGTGGTTTATCGCCCAACCCCCCATACGCAAAACCTGCAAGGGTTTACTGTATGTCTGTTTTATTAATATTGTGTAAGCACTTATTTCCTGCACCTCTGTATTCTGGTCCTCTGCACTGCCTGATCCTCTGTACCGTCACTTTTATGCTCTTGTTCTCTGCTGCCACAGATCTCACTTGCAAACTAGCTGGGTACCTGGCTAAATGGTGCTTTCCGTGTAACAAATAAAACATTGGTTTTGTTTGTATGGAAAATGTGTGCAGTAGAGCAAGTGGGCGGGTCAGCTGTCAACCTCCTGCATCAGATCATCGAGTTGGGGTCGGACGTGACGCCTGGAACGGTGATGGTGGAGGAGGCATGTACGGTCAGTACTTGCGCAACATTTCACACGTTTTTTGCGATAACTCTTCAATTCGAGAACACTTTTCGCACAACGCGCCCGCTTTAACGTGGTTTGTGTGGCGACGACAAAACAATTTTCCTGAGTGGCACGGCTGAGCAGTGGGAATTCTGAGTATACAAAGGAATGATACAGTACGCAATGTGCGCTCATCCCAAATCTTTGTCCCACCATGGGATGACTGCAGATTGATTTTATAGTGCAACTGGAATTCAAATTTGCACTTTTTATCCCCATAATCTCTATACAGTAATTCCTTGCCTGATGTGTTTTTTCAATAAATGTAGCACTTTTCAGGAACTCATCTACCGCATAAAAAGAGGAATTGTCCTCCATCTGAAAATTGCCATTCCTCAAATATTACAGCAGATTCTTAACTCATGCCTGCCACATGTCTCACGGCGGCAGGGCTATGAAGTGCAGCACATGGTCATTTCATCGGCCGTCGAGGCCGCTGTGGAGGCGGTGACCATGTACAGCCAGGGTGAGCCATCGTCCGAGTTCATCGTCTACGTGCAGGAGGACGCCGCGCCCGGGCAGCCCGAGATGGTCAACACCGAGGAGACGGAAGTGGTGGAGACGGTGGAGATGGCAGAAACGTTGATGGAGGAGGAGACGTTGATGGAGACGGAAGAGACGACAGAAATGGAAGAGACGGTGGAGACGGTCGAAACAGAACTCGCAGGCGGGGAGACGGAGCAGCAGGGATAGCAGTTCCCTTGCCTGTGCCACTGGGTGGGCGACGACCTTCAGTGCTGGCATGAGGCTGGGTGAGCAACAACAATCTCCAGTAGTTCAATTGAAAATTATAAAAAAAAACTATTTAAGCAGTTAACTCTGCCTCACCATCTTCAGCCGTGGTCAATCCACTTCTGGACAAATGCCTCAAAGTCGTCGTCGTCATCCCTCACGAGTACTGGTTAAATGTCATGAAAAAGCAAAAGGTAGGACTGCTGGCATGAGACCAATGCAAACTCTAAGCCCAACCAACCCTGCAAATAAATGTGATGGAATGCCACACAACCGCTATTTTGTCATTCATTCTTACATAATACTTTGCATTTATAACATATAATTTAATATATGCATTTGTTTTTATTTTAAAAAGTTGTCTGAATTGTGATCAGGTGTTAACTTTAACCTATGTGCCTGTATTTGTGCTGTCAAAATATGCAAAGCAATGTGATGGTGGAATTATATTTATGTTTAACATTATACATTTTGTACAAAATATACAATAACGTGAAAAACACAAGATAGCATTAAAATGAAGACAATTACATTGTGCTTTCTTTCCTTTTGGAATCTGCTCAAACGTACAGTATATTGGCCTTGTAACCTTATCTCATTGCGACTGCTGTGCTATGACGCAGCTTTGCAACTGCTTGCTTACGCTATTGGAGGAAGAACCTCCACTGTAGAGCCCCACTGTGACAAATTTGGCCTATTCCACAAGAGTACCCACACTTTACCCCACCAGACGTGACCTGTAATTGACTTAACTGTGGTGCACCCATTTACATTGCTGGGTGGACAGGTGGGGTGGGAAGGGATTTACAAAACTTATCCCACCGTTTCAGCAGTCCCGTCAAGAGATCTAACCATTGATTGGGCTTGCATATTCAGTTGGCTAACCATGACACCACACAGCATCCCTCAGGCTCAGTCCCCATTCCTTTTTTTACGTGTACAAAAGAGGGGTGGGTGTGGGGGGAGATGTACAAATAATTTTCATCTCAAGCCTGCACATTCGGAATTTAGACTTGGGCCATCAACTGCCCCTCTGTGAGCCGCAGCAAGTTCTGCAAGATGCTCGTCTGTCCGCAGCGCAAGTTCAGCGCGTATCGCTCGCGACGGCTCAGCTTGGCACTGAGCACGGGGTCTGCGAGCATGGCCGCATCTTCCTTTTGCACGGGGCCATATGCCGCCAGTGTGATGCGGATGCTTTCTGCCAACAGTGTCCGCCACATGGGGTGCAGCTCCACAATTGCCTCATTGGTCAGTGACTCGTCAGCTGCATCATCCTCCTCCCACCCCTCGTTCTCCTGGTAGTCCTGCAACTCTTCCTCTGACATGCAGAGCACCTAGGTCACAGGCATACGGTCGCAGAAGTCCAATTACGTCCAGAGTATTTGTAGAATTAGGAAAGATGCGAGTGTCGAGCTGGTGTTTTAATTAGCAATTTACTGAAGCAAATGTGCTCTGCAAATTGGACGGATCTTGTAGCTACACGATTTGAGAGCAGTGGATGTGATTATTGAGGCATGGTATAGAAGCACATGGATATAGACATTGTGGGCAGCCAATAAAATTGACATTTGGCTTAGAAAAGCACCTTGAGGGCTGCGTAGAGCTCTTCTTCGGTGAGGACTCCTTCGCGACCGATAACGAACGCTCCCTCCTCGCCCACCAGCAGCATGTCACACAGCACTTTCCATTTCTTCTCGACCAGCTGCTTCCTACTTTCTCCAAACACTGTTCGACCAGCACGTTTCACAATGGTGTTTAAATAACACAAGCGGATTATAAGAGCTACAGCAGTACACAATATGACGTGAAAATATTTTATCTTGAAAGATTTTTATAATGTGTTTATCGTCATCGAAACCATAAGAGCTTTGTAGCGTTACCAGTGATGTAAAACACTGGGCAGCACAGCTCGAAAATTAGCCGATGCCCATCAACATAGCTTCAGGTCTGTATGGGTATGATCTAAATCGTCCTTCCGAGCCAAAAGTGCAATTATTGCATGGGGTTGGTATGATCTAAATCGTCCTTCCGAGCCAAAAGTGCAATTATTGCATGGGGTTGGTATGATCTAAATCGTCCTTCTGAGCCAAAAGTGCAATTATTGCATGTGGTTGGTATGATCTAAATCGTCCTTCTGAGCCAAAAGTGCAATTATTGCATGTGGTTGGTATGATCTAAATCGTCCTTCCAAGCCAAAAGTGCAATTATTGCATGTGGTTGGTATGATCTAAATCGTCCTTCTGAGCCAAAAGTGCAATTATTGCATGGGGTTGGTATGATCTAAATCGTCCTTCCGAGCCAAAAGTGCAATTATTGCATGTGGTTGGTATGATCTAAATCGTCCTTCCGAGCCAAAAGTGCAATTATTGCATGTGGTTGGTATGATCTAAATCGTCCTTCCAAGCCAAAAGTGCAATTATTGCATGTGGTTGGTATGATCTAAATCGTCCTTTCGAGCCAAAAGTGCAATTATTGCATGGGGTTGGTATGATCTAAATCGTCCTTCCGAGCCAAAAGTGCAATTATTGCATGTGGTTGGTATGATCTAAATCGTCCTTCTGAGCCAAAAGTGCAATTATTGCATGTGGTTGGTATGATCTAAATCGTCCTTCCGAGCCAAAAGTGCAATTATTGCATGTGGTTGGTATGATCTAAATCGTCCTTCTGAGCCAAAAGTGCAATTATTGCATGTGGTTGGTATGATCTAAATCGTCCTTCTGAGCCAAAAGTGCAATTATTGCATGTGGTTGGTATGATCTAAATCGTCCTTCTGAGCCAAAAGTGCAATTATTGCATGGGGTTGGTATGATCTAAATCGTCCTTCCGAGCCAAAAGTGCAATTATTGCATGTGGTTGGTATGATCTAAATCGGTCCTTCTGAGCCAAAAGTGCAATTATTGCATGGGGTTGGTATGATCTAAATCGTCCTTCCGAGCCAAAAGTGCAATTATTGCATGTGGTTGGTATGATCTAAATCGTCCTTCCGAGCCAAAAGTGCAATTATTGCATGTGGTTGGTATGATCTAAATCGTCCTTCTGAGCCAAAAGTGCAATTTTTGCATGTGGTTGGTATGATCTAAATCGTCCTTCTGAGCCAAAAGTACAATTATTGCATGTGGTTGGTATGATCTAAATCGTCCTTCTGAGCCAAAAGTGCAATTATTGCATGGGGTTGGTATGATCTAAATCGTCCTTCCGAGCCAAAAGTGCAATTATTGCATGTGGTTGGTATGATCTAAATCGTCCTTCTGAGCCAAAAGTGCAATTATTGCATGTGGTTGGTATGATCTAAATCGTCCTTCTGAGCCAAAAGTGCAATTATTGCATGGGGTTGGTATGATCTAAATCGTCCTTCTGAGCCAAAAGTGCAATTATTGCATGGGGTTGGTATGATCTAAATCGTCCTTCTGAGCCAAAAGTGCAATTATTGCATGGGGTTGGTATGATCTAAATCGTCCTTCTGAGCCAAAAGTGCAATTATTGCATGTGGTTGGTATGATCTAAATCGTCCTTCTGAGCCAAAAGTGCAATTATTGCATGGGGTTGGTATGATCTAAATCGTCCTTCCGAGCCAAAAGTGCAATTATTGCATGTGGTTGGTATGATCTAAATCGTCCTTCTGAGCCAAAAGTGCAATTATTGCATGGGGTTGGTATGATCTAAATCGTCCTTCTGAGCCAAAAGTGCAATTATTGCATGTGGTTGGTATGATCTAAATCGTCCTTCCGAGCCAAAAGTGCAATTATTGCATGTGGTTGGTATGATCTAAATCGTCCTTCTGAGCCAAAAGTGCAATTATTGCATGGGGTTGGTATGATCTAAATCGTCCTTCCAAGCCAAAAGTGCAATTATTGCATGGGGTTGGTATGATCTAAATCGTCCTTCCGAGCCAAAAGTGCAATTATTGCATGTGGTTGGTATGATCTAAATCGTCCTTCCGAGCCAAAAGTGCAATTATTGCATGTGGTTGGTATGATCTAAATCGTCCTTCTGAGCCAAAAGTGCAATTATTGCATGTGGTTGGTATGATCTAAATCGTCCTTCCGAGCCAAAAGTGCAATTATTGCATGTGGTTGGTATGATCTAAATCGTCCTTCTGAGCCAAAAGTGCAATTATTGCATGTGGTTGGTATGATCTAAATCGTCCTTCCGAGCCAAAAGTGCAATTATTGCATGTGGTTGGTATGATCTAAATCGTCCTTCTGAGCCAAAAGTGCAATTATTGCATGTGGTTGGTATGATCTAAATCGTCCTTCCGAGCCAAAAGTGCAATTATTGCATGTGGTTGGTATGATCTAAATCGTCCTTCCGAGCCAAAAGTGCAATTATTGCATGTGGTTGGTATGATCTAAATCGTCCTTCCGAGCCAAAAGTGCAATTATTGCATGTGGTTGGTATGATCTAAATCGTCCTTCCGAGCCAAAAGTGCAATTATTGCATGGGGTTGGTATGATCTAAATCGTCCTTCTGAGCCAAAAGTGCAATTATTGCATGTGGTTGGTATGATCTAAATCGTCCTTCTGAGCCAAAAGTGCAATTATTGCATGTGGTTGGTATGATCTAAATCGTCCTTCCGAGCCAAAAGTGCAATTATTGCATGGGGTTGGTATGATCTAAATCGTCCTTCTGAGCCAAAAGTGCAATTATTGCATGTGGTTGGTATGATCTAAATCGTCCTTCTGAGCCAAAAGTGCAATTATTGCATGTGGTTGGTATGATCTAAATCGTCCTTCCGAGCCAAAAGTGCAATTATTGCATGTGGTTGGTATGATCTAAATCGTCCTTCCGAGCCAAAAGTGCAATTATTGCATGGGGTTGGTATGATCTAAATCGTCCTTCCGAGCCAAAAGTGCAATTATTGCATGGGGTTGGTATGATCTAAATCGTCCTTCCAAGCCAAAAGTGCAATTATTGCATGTGGTTGGTATGATCTAAATCGTCCTTCCGAGCCAAAAGTGCAATTATTGCATGTGGTTGGTATGATCTAAATCGTCCTTCCGAGCCAAAAGTGCAATTATTGCATGGGGTTGGTATGATCTAAATCGTCCTTCCAAGCCAAAAGTGCAATTATTGCATGGGGTTGGTATGATCTAAATCGTCCTTCCAAGCCAAAAGTGCAATTATTGCATGTGGTTGGTATGATCTAAATCGTCCTTCCGAGCCAAAAGTGCAATTATTGCATGGGGTTGGTATGATCTAAATCGTCCTTTCGAGCCAAAAGTGCAATTATTGCATGTGGTTGGTATGATCTAAATCGTCCTTCCAAGCCAAAAGTGCAATTATTGCATGGGGTTGGTATGATCTAAATCGTCCTTTCGAGCCAAAAGTGCAATTATTGCATGGGGTTGGTATGATCTAAATCGTCCTTCCAAGCCAAAAGTGCAATTATTGCATGGGGTTGGTATGATCTAAATCGTCCTTTCGAGCCAAAAGTGCAATTATTGCATGGGGTTGGTATGATCTAAATCGTCCTTCCAAGCCAAAAGTGCAATTATTGCATGGGGTTGGTATGATCTAAATCGTCCTTCCGAGCCAAAAGTGCAATTATTGCATGTGGTTGGTATGATCTAAATCCGAACAATGAAATAGTCTGTACCCTGCAGTGCGGCCTTATATAGTGTCGTCATCTGGATTTCTGCCGCATCATTGTTGTTGGCAGGGTGAGGCTCCACGAATCCATACATGTGCAGCAGCTGCCAGTTAGCCAGGTCGCCGTATGTGTTATACACCTCTTCCCCCTTGGCTATAGGGCGTGTCGATATCATCTTCAGGCAGTCCTGCACACAAGACAAAACAAACAAGCGTAACTATTCAATGCAATTCAATATTATTGTTTTATTTACGTGACTTGACCGAAAGACGCAAGAGTATTCAATACAAATTAGAAGATGGCGATAACATGTGTGAGCAAAGAAAATGTGTAAACGTCTTGAATTCAATGCTTGAAAAATGTGAGGTGCAGGCTCCTGCTAGGTCACACACCTTGGTGAATTCCAGATTGGCGTTGTGGTTTGACACGTGGTTGAGGATATCTGCCATTGGAACCATAATGGGTGGATTTGGATCTTTTTCATCCTCATCTTCTTCCTCCAGAGGTTCCTGGAAACTGCATTATAAAGACTTCATGTTAAAAAGTGCAATACTGCTCTCAATCTCACACTCTGCAATGTTTATGCTCAGCATGTAACTATGCATCGATTTGTCAATCACAATAGTTTCCTATGCTCACAATACACGCAGAGAATCGTGTAGTTATGTTGTTATTGGTTCCTGTACACTCGGCAGCCACTGCTAATTATCTATGTATCGCAATAGGGGGGGGGGGGGGGAGTTGGGGAATAATCTTAAATCGAAGTGCAATTTGTTAAATCGCAAGGGAGGCACATTGTTAAATAGCTACTTTCTGCAATTAACACCATTCTGCAACTCTTCCACACCTGTAGGCCATGACAAAGGCGACCATGCGCTTGTAAAGGTTCAGTGTGTGTTGTTTGCTGTCGAAGAGCGTAGGGTGGGCGGCCAGGAAGGGCTGCACCACGGAGTTGAACTCAAGCTCGATGTTTTCCAGGTCCAAGTGCACAGCCTCAGGCACACCCGTCCCACGCAGCAAACGTTTTCTCTCCTCCTCCGGCCTAGCGATATGCAGTGTGGTGAATTCAGGAAACATGGAGATCTATTTTCATGTTTTACTGTACAAATTATTAAGAATGATTAAGACATTTTTATCTTCAAAAGTAAATGGGCTTGGACAGGACACCACCAGACAGAATGATGACCGATGGACAAGACAGAGTCGTAGCCAAAGGATATAACATGACCAAGAGGCTGACCACTACAGAGATGGAGCATTGACAGCAGTTTATGTGCAGGAGATGGATGGTAGCAGCAATTGGACCATGAGGGATGACAAGAACACTGGCTGGTGAAATAATTAACCTTTTGGAAGATTAAAAAATGTATAGTTATGGCTTAATGTGCATCAATACTTTCAATGTAATTGTACAATGATAATGTGAATTGAAAATTTTAACCAATCATAAAAACCAAGCCTTACGTGGCTTGGGGTCTTGCCAATCAGCTCTGCAAACTCACCAAAACATGGGCAGGTCAAGCTGATCAGGTTCAGGGCAGAGAGCGAGGTAGGGTTTCCACCGCGAGTTTGGACAGGTGAACTCGTACATTAGTGCCACAATCAGTGCCACCCAGCCAGACTGGCTCTTCAAAGAGGCAGCGTCTGCAGATGGAAAACACAAGCATCCATTTAATAACTATTTAATATGATCCCATTAAACGTCTCAAAAGGGTGAGAGTGCTTGGAATAATGAATGGTTGTGAAATGCAGATCACAGTATTCATGTGCAGTTTTCATGAATCTCCAACAATGGCTTTTATTTGCCTAGTTGCTTGTACTGGGTTTTAAAAAAGTGCCAATGTTGTGCAAGTTGGTAATTTTGGGCCCGGCATGAAATGCGTTTTTATTATAAACTAGCTGTTTTGCCCGTCCAAGGATGGGTGTATATTGCAGTAAATCTGAAATATGCAATAGAAAAATAGTTCAGCTCATGATTATTGAGGGGGTGGGGTTGCCGATGTGGAGTGACGTCACCCGCTAATGATTATTGGGGAGGGGTGCGGCATGTGGAGTGACGTCACCCCCTCACGGTTGTGGAGGGGAGGGGTGCAGCATGTGGAGTGCACGACCTTGTGCGTTAGTGTAAATTTTGCAAAAATTCACCCACTCATGAATATTAATGAGGGGGTGGGGTGGGCCTCATGTGGAGTGACATCGCGGGGGGGTAGGCCTCGTGGAGTGACGTCACGTGCGGGACACACACATTCTTGGCTTATTATAGTAGTAATTTGAAAGGCACAACAACAAAAAAATCCCACTTAATAACTTACGCACCTTTTTCAAGGACCTGGCTGATGGAGGTAGTCATAGAGCTGAGCAACGCATCTCGGGGCACAGAAAACAGCACCTCTCCTTCAGAGATATTCTCCACTGCCTGCAGGCCATAGCGGTCCACCAAGCCATCCTCACTTAGAACCACCTGCAAAAAAGTATTCATCATGGCCTCCGTCAGCAACGTTATCACCATTGTAATGCAGAAGCATGATCGAGCACACTCGCTGAACTTACTGAAAAACTTTTGGCTGGGTTGGTAACATTCCTCCAACTCTCAAAACAGCATTGTTCTCTGGAAAATATATCTAACAGCAGTTCTCAAATTCCAGTTATAATAACGCTGCTGTTGTCCAACATTTGCTTGCTCACCAATAGTATCCTTTAAACTCCTATGGTGCAATGCTGATGGATGTTAAGACCAACTCCAGAAATGTGTGGAGTTGTGACAAGGAAACATTTTTGAGACAAACGTTCTCGTCAGCAACACCTCGATATCCTACTCACGAGGGGGAACCTGCTTCACAGCACTGTTCCACTCTTCCCACATTAACCTTGGACGCCATGGTGGCGAGATGCTAACTACCTCGCCTGGTATACTGGAGGGCGTGGGGTCAATTCCGACCTTGACGTCTGTATAGGTAATCCTCAGTTTACGCGCTTTTGTGCTACGCCATTTTGGAATAACACGCGCTTTGTATTTAGACATTTTATTGACATGCGTGAGGTAATTTTCGGAATATCATCCGCAACGCGACATAGCCACCCAGGCCTGGCACCGTTGCCAACAGCCAGTGCGGTACAATAACTAGTGTACAATCTACAGCATCTCGCGGCGTGTACACCAGCGCTCTTGCCTTTGTCTCCACAACGCAAATCAGGCGAAGTTACAAGTGTAGGGGACACCAAATGGAGAAGAAATGTTATGCAGAGCTACTAAAGATTTATGAAATAGAACACAGGTGCTGAGAGAAATTAGAAAGAGAACAGGTTGTGAAGGGATCATTAAGAACACGGGTGGCCGGATGTCTAATATCCGGAGAGGAACAGGTGGTAAAGGGATAACGAATGAGAGGGCACTGAAGCAAGAGAACACAGAGAGGTTAAGAATGAAGGACCGAGAGAGATAAAAGGGGAGCGTCGCTGGAAAACGGCCTATTAATATGCACGGATAATATAGGCGATTATGTCTGCGAGTGAAACTCCCTCCTTTACCATTATTTCTTATGAGAAAATTGCTTTTGACATACACGATTTTGAGATGCGTGTGTTTTTCTAGGAACGCATCTATCACGTATGTCAAGGAGTGCCTGTATATTTCGAGTTTGCATGTTCTCCCCGTGGTTGTGTGGATTTTCTCCGGTTCCTCCGGCTTTTCCCTCCACATCTAGACACCTGCATTTAGAGTATTTGGCTACAATAAATGTCCACATGAGCTATCATTTGTGGTCAGGTCGCTTCTGAGAACGAGCTACATACCTCAGTGGGCCTTACCTGGTGAGAAATAAAATAGTTTAGTAACCCGAGGCCTTCACAAGAACGGCGGACGCACCTTGGGGCTGAGCTCAAGGTTCACACTGCTGCACCACGACTCGAATTCCTGCAAGATGTCATCCAGGCCGTGGCGACTCGCCTTCACAGTGCCCCCTGTTGCCACTTCATCGTCCACCTGGAAATGCAAAGACTGTTAATCGATAACCGTTCTCAAGATTTCCTTTTAAACAAGGCAACACTTTGTCTAACGCAGTCTCCCAACTAGCAATCAATCAATTGCTCGTCTAAAAAAAGGGTCATTGCTCAAAACGTCGCCTGTTGTACGGTTCCTCTTTAGAGCAGAACTATTGACGAATGTGTCGAGATCAAATTGAAGGCAGAGCAGGGCGAGATGGGTCAGGGAAGAAAGAACAACACAGATTAGTGTGCAACACCGAACTCCACTGGCTGGGCTGCAGGGTGGCCAGGAGTACAGCAAAGCACTCTGTGTGTGTGTGGACCTTCTCTCTCTCTGTGTGTGTGTGGACCTTCTCTCTCTCTGTGTGTGTGGACCTTCTCTCTCTGTGTGTGTGGACCTTCTCTCTGTGTGTGTGTGGACCTTCTCTCTCTGTGTGTGTGGACCTTCTCTGTGTGTGTGTGTGTGGACCTTCTCTCTCTGTGTGTGTGGACCTTCTCTCTGTGTGTGTGTGTGGACCTTCTCTCTGTGTGTGTGTGTGGACCTTCTCTCTGTGTGTGTGTGTGGACCTTCTGAGCGTGGCTACCCGGTCTGCGTTATGAACCCGGTGAGCCGATGCAACTCCCGGCCAGGGCGACCGCCAGCGGCGGCCTGACAGCGGCACCACCACCAGGGCCCTTCACCACCACCACCAATACCACCACCATCATCATCACCACACCATCACCACCGCGTGGTCCACACACCACGGCCACTCGCGAAACGCGTGGGGGGAGGGCGCGGCCTCATCCAGCAGTGGACAGATCGAGGGCTGTGCACTAGGGTTGCACGACTGCCCCATGTTAAACTCTCAAAACATCGCAGCGCATACACACAAAGCGGCCGTCACCATTACCAAGAACCATTCTCTATCCACTGTTGTCCCACTGCCGCAGCTGAACCAAGTGCAAGCTGCGTGCAGACTCCATCCGCGATCAGCACGAGGCAAACGAGACGTCAGGGCAACGCGCATTAATTGCATGGCGCCACCAGCGTCGCAAACGAACGAGCGGTAGTTGTATGAAGGCGCTCGCTGCTGCCGCTGCTGTGGTGCAACACGCGGGTGGCCGCCACCATCGACCACGTGCGGCGCGGGGGGGGCAGCAGCGACACCGTCGTGGACACCACCAGGACGGGCAATGGAGGCGCCTGGGGCCTCCTCCTCCTCCTCCCACTCACCTTCACTCGCTTGCTGCGCGCGTGAGACATGGAGGCGGCGAGGCGAACTCGAGAGAGAGAAGATGGAGAAGATGGAGAATCACGCCGTGGGCTGAGCGCTTCCAGCGGCTCGCGACCCTCAATGTGGCGGGGGGGAGGCGAGGGGGAGGGTCACGTGACGAGTGGGGGGGGTCACGTGACGAGTGGGGGGGGTCACGTGACGAGTGGGGGGGGTCACGTGACGAGTGGGGGGGGTCACGTGGTCCGCGTCACGCACGCGAAGCGCGCTCGGCGAAGCGGTGACCGCGAATTAAGCAAGTTGTGGTTTAGTTAAAGTTGTGATTTAGCTACATTAATTTAATCTTTCGCGTTGCCGAGACGCGCCGTGTTCACAGGAGAGCAACAGGCAGAAATTTCGGTCGGAACAAAACAAATGAACGCAAGCGTGGAGGCCTGAGAAGGCGAAATGGAAGCCGAAGAAGGATCGTGGTGGTTGAAGCCGAAGCAGCCCGAGGCCGATGGGGGCGACCACCCGACAAGGCGGGCCAAGTGCGTCTCCATCGCGTCCCACGTCTCGCCACAGTGGATTCTGACACCACGAGTGGATGATGATACCACAGTGGATGATGACACCACGAGTGGATGATTGATGATATCACAGTGGGTGATGATACCAAGTTCATGTATTAGGTATAGCCCTGCGAGCCATGCGGCTCTTGAATCGGGTGCAACCGCAACAAACAAAAACATGAACAAGAAAACATCTTAAAGTGACTATGTGACTAAGTGCAAACAGAAAATCCAAGAAAAGAGCAAAATATTGCAGAAAAAAGTACCGTACACCAACACTGAAAAAATCCCAGTGGGATGCAAGCCAAACAACAACAACAACCACAAGACAACTTAGATTAAGGCCATCAGTCTTACTCCGTACTACAACAAACAAACATGGCCAAACCAAAAAACTTTTCGAAATCACCAAAATAAAGCATGAAACAGTGATCATAGGAACTGTGATGGAATTTTCACAATAAACGACATAAACATGAACCACCAAACTCTGTAACCATAGCTGGCTGCATGAATCACTCCACAACAGCAGGAGCATCAGTCGGGGTATCATAATTTTTCAATGCACCACGGTGAGTGATACCACGGCCCTCCTGGGAGTGCATCAGTTCAGCGGCAATGATTCAAGACAAGCAAAAGTGTGCACCGGTTTCGAAATTGAGTGACTCGTCAGCAGTCTGGCTTGGCTCGAATCAACGCTGTGGAAATGCCAGATGTTAAAGGCGATTTAGACTATCACGTAACTAAAATAATAATGAAAAGTCGTGGAATGTATCGATTAAATCATAAAACGTGCCGATGCTGCCTTGGCAGTGGTTGATAAGCACGATGGAAGATACAAACCTCAACAATAATCAAGACAATTATATAAATCTTAAGAGCTGAGAAAATGTATAAACCCAGTGATTGAAACTCAACAAGATACTCATTGAAACAAGAACCAAAATACTATTTGGGTCTTTCGGTAAAGTCTCGTAGCTAGGTTCAAAAAATAACAAATTAAACAAAAAAACGACAACGTTTCGATCTCAACACAAGCGACCGTCATCAGCAGGAAAGAGGGGAAAAGCCGCTAAAGGCGAGCGGTTTTAAAGGTTTAAATTTGGCGTGGCCCAGGCGTGGCCCCCTGGTGTCAGGACGCAGTGGGCGGGGCACGAGTGGCCTGGGGCCCCCCAAGCCGAGATGGTTTTATGTTCATGTGAAATCGGAATTAGGAGAGAGCGCCGCATGAGACGTGGATAAAGTAACAACTTGTGGTGCGCCCAATGCAGCGGCGACACCGCAGGAACTGGAATTGCTTGTCCCATCTTTGGTAAAATAATACTAACATCGGAGGGTGACAAGATGGAAACATCACAGCCAGTTATGACTTAAACTGGTCAATGAAGTCCTTCCGATGATTGCTGAGATTGTACCCATCCTCTCGGTTGAAATTGTGTTTGTATATATGGATGGCTTCATGAACGAATCTTTATTGATAGCCAGTGGGCTTGTAAAGTACCTTTGTCTTAGACTAAGCTGTGTCTGCGGCAATAGTAACATTGGGGAAACTAAGCGACATGTCTCGGACCGTGTTTGTGAGCATGAGGCAGATTAGAAACACGGGAGGACCAACACCTCAGCCGTGGCTGACCATTGTTTTTAATGCGGGTGGCTCACACGAAATGTATTTGTCTAAGACAAAGGTATGTGCTATGAAAAAGGGCCATTGCCTGAAACGTCCATTACGATATCGTTTTCACTTTAAGGCGGTGATTTATTTTTACATTAAAATACCGCGCTTAACGCTGTTATTTTTCTGATTTGGAATTCTTGTGGTATGACGTGGAGGTCTCCAGGTGAGGGCGCTGTTTTCAAAGTTTCTGTGCGGTGTTCAAAGACTGAATTTAATTATTAAATATGGGGACCGAAGGCATTTTTGCACGAATGCTTAGCTGGGTTTTATAAATTCATATTGACGTGGCCCAAATACTGGCAAATACAGCACAACAATGACTGGGACACGTGGTTTATCACAGTCAAACCAGCTCTTGTGTGCGCCGGCAAGTTGCCATTAACATGCATTCATCAATCCACTGTTCAATGAAGGCCTCCCTATGTTGTGGTCATTGAAGATGTTTGACCATACTACACCATGCTGGTCAATGTGCGCCGGTGAAGTTGGGGGTGGGGGGGAGGTGAGATATCACTCGCCACTCATGTTAACTGTGTCCAGCAATCAAACTAACGTTGCTGGGTTCAGCGCGGAGTGTGCTAACCACTGCCCCACCGCTCCACCTCCCAGGTGTCATTATCGTAATGTGTTTATCAATTTGCTTGACGATCGTCCCATCAGGGCTAACTGCGGTAGACGGCATACACAAACAAACTGGAAAGCCGGTCGGTCAATGGAATTTACAGATTATTGTAAAGGATATATGATTGTACAAAAAAATCATATGAAACTATACCAATCGGAGCATTGGTTATGTTAACCTGTATGGTAAAATTTTATAGTCATTGGTTTAGGAGTTTTCCAGTTGAAAAAAGTGAAGTGTTCTGGACAGACATAGCGATACAAAGCCTTATCAGTTCCGTTAGAAAGAAACAACACCATACCTGTTTAGCCACCTCTATCAATGTTCCAATCCTTTGTGGAGCCAAATCAGATTACTAGCAATAAGAAAATAATGTCATGTTGAACAATTTGAATCACTTGTAAAGGATAACAGTTGTAGTAATATTTTTTTAAATCTATGAATTAACTGTGATCATACTATATATATGTATTTCCATTCCATGATACACTCTAAGAAGTATATTTTCAATACTTCACTGTGCCATGAGGGTTGTTTGACCATACTTCCTCATGATGGTCATTGTGCGGGTAGATGAAGCTGGGGTTGAAGAGGGACCACTTTGAGAGGTCCACGTGGTGCCACTGATGTTCGCTGTGGTCGAGAATCGAGCTCAGGTGACCGGGTTCACAGTGCAATGCGTTATCCCTTGTGTCACTGCTCCACTGTGATTACAGTATATCTACACTACAGGATATAAAGTTAATGTACTGTGTATAGTGAGTGCTTTATTCACACACAAGATGATCGTCGTTAACAATGAATTTATGTTTTCTTGGTTGGTGGACATGTTTAATAACTTCACAACCACTGCAGAAAACAACTCAACAATTAAAGTGCAACATTTGCAGCGAATGTAATTTATGGACTTTGTGGGTATCTTAGAGAAAGCTCCAATAAAAGTCGTTAATGTTTGACAGCAGAGGCAGCAATGTGATGAGTGATCAGCCCATCAGCATTGGAACGACTTTGCCATCTGTGGAGCAATGAGAAGACTCCATTCCTGGGAGGATTGCGGTGAGCTAACAGTCAACTAGGGATCATGGGATGCAAGGCAATGGGCAGCAATCTGCTAATCCACCACAATTCCATTGATAATGCCTGGGTTGTCCATAGATTTCTTGTGTTTGATTGTGTGTAATTAAGTTTGTACGTAGCCAACTGTGCTTATATTTGCGATTAATTTTGTTCAAATGTGTACATATCTACAATGGTTCAGTGAACAACACTAATTAAAAAGTAGTGAATGCAGTTGCAATTTGTACATAACATTTAGTTTGTTTAGAACAAAAACTAATGAGGCTTTCAATAGAATAGAATTATCACCATATGCAGTCAGCCATTGCTTTGAGAGTACTATTGTGTGATCATGATATAATGAGTAGGCTATGGTGGATTCCCTATTAACGCTTGATTTCCCAATTTCTTGACATTGTATTTTCATACGTGATTATTTTTTTTGCTTGCGATGGTTCTGCTGTTTCTGTCCCATGTTTCGCCACACCAATGCTTCCCTGACTTCCATCTTGACCTCATTTCATGTGGCTGCGGACGAAGCATACCAAAGCTTGGGTGCCTGGTTCCCAGTCACGCTCGCTGCTTTGATACCATCAGCAGACCCGTGCACGTCGCAGTCACGTGACTGCCAGAGCTTGAATGCCCGTTGAAAAGTAAGAACAGCACCAAATGGCCGAGGAGACTTTTGCCACTTCTCTAAGCCTGCGGGGGTTGGAGGGGAACAATTCAAACCCGCTGAGCTGCTTAAAGAGCCAGATCTGAGAGCTTAGTTTTGTTATAGTCGCTATCCTTGTGTGGCCCCGGATACACATATTGCAAAATGAATCGCATTGAATAAGTCCCTGTGCACGGTACTTTTCAATGCTATGTTTATAATTTTATGAATGCTAATATGAAAATGTGTCGGCTGTGTAATGGCTTTCCAGCAAGCATTACGGGCTTACGGACTTGAGCTGCTAATGCGCCATGTCGTGACCCATCGTCGTCGGGTCTCATATTTGAGCCCCAGGGCCGACGGACAAAAATTAATCCTGGCTGAGAACCCATTTTTGGAAGCATTGTCAGGCGCAATAAAAACCATAATTGTTTCTGCTAAGTTGTTCGTGGCATTACAATTGTTTTCAATATTATTAATCATAACAATGTAAATGGAGTTTCATACTGGATTGAAACATGCTGACCCCTTTATGCCTTTATGGGCATCAACTTAGGAACGATGTTTTTTTCCAA